ATGAACATATATATTTTTATTATTTTGAAAATATATTTTATGTTATTTAAAACTATATATTAATGGAGGGTATTACTATTTTGTGAACTTTCCTTTTTAATAAAGTCATATATACATATATTTTCATTTTTAATTTTGTTTTAAAATTTTAGAAATATTTCCTTTTTATTATATATGTTATTTGGAAAAAGGTAAAAAAAAAACTAAATAAAAAATAATAATCTTAAAATCTAACAATTCATTAAGGGTATCTATGTAATCAACCATCACGAGAGTTAACGTGAGCGCGACACGTAGGAAACTGACTTCTCAAATAATATTATAGAGATAGTTTTATATCAGAACCTTTTATCAATATGAATAAATACAAGTCTTCTAATAATATCCCATCAGTCTAACACCTACATAACCTAATCCTGATTTGCAGATCTCATTTATTTTGGCATACTAATATTTATGGATGTTTATTATCTAATACAAGGAGTTAGACAATTTATAAAATAATATTATAATACTTTAAATTTTATTAAAGATTATACAAATGATCTAGTTTATTAAATTCAAGACAAAGTTCGTTTGATATTTACTCTGGATAAAGTTCATAAAATATGTACCTTCTATTCACAACACTTTTTTAATTTAAAGATAAAGACTTATCCATTAAAGATGTTTATTTATAAATACTTCATTAAGATTTGTATTACTATGGGAGTACTTTTTTTTTGGTCAAAGGGAGTACTTACTATGATTTCAATCACATCACTCAATTACACACAAATAATGTTTAGAAGTAATAGAATAATTGGACAGTGAAATTTCTTTTACAAATTGATCTTCAACGTAAATCAGGCGAATACAATCTCAATAAGTGAAACAAAGGCTTTGCTTAGATCACGAGCAAACAAAAGATGGTTAGTTGCTTGAAACGAAAGGTTCATTTGTGTGAATCCTTGGATCATCCTTTGCTGGGGATGCAAGACAAAAACAAAGCTTGAACCAATAAAACACAAACGTAATGCAAGTCGTACCCTCCTTCCTCTTATTTTTCGGGACAATATTGCCATTGCTCCCTTGTGTCCCGCCCCGGTTTACAGTTGATTTTAAAGTCAAGTCATTAGTCAATACTCAATATCCAAAAGACATATATGTAGATGTAGTAGGTCCATCTTATGATCTTAACTTACCAGGCAAACGAGAATTTTGATATATGCCGTTCTGATATGAGAAGGTGCGTCTATGATTACCGGTCAAAGAATCCAAGTTTGAACTTGCTAGAGACAGAGCTTCCAGTGTCTGTGAAACATGGAGCTCGCTGATGTTTAGCTGATTGACATGGAACACATACATGTTTGATACGTTTCCCTGTATATTCTGTAATGAGAGATTTAGTCACCATGTCTATTTTAACACAAAATCTACTCATGTAAGAAAAAAACTAACCAACCCACCATAATATTTTGTGGAATATTATAACGCCCTTCCTTTGCAGCAATTTGGGCTAAATTTATGTTAACCTTTTCGACGATTTTCTTCGCGAAATCCTCATCCGACCTTCAAACAAAGAGGGATTTAAATTAAAGATGTGGTATTAGTTCAACACTGTGATCATGCACCAAGTCTTACATCCTCTTGTCATAAGACACTCCAATCATTCGAGCAGCAAATGTTAAAGCTTTCTTCCATCTCTTGATCCTGGAATTGGTACGCTTCTTATTTTTTCTCTCATCGCCTGCTTCAGAAAGCAAAACCTCCTGATAAGCCAGAAACTTTTCGCCAAATTTCCCGCTCTGCTTCTTGACGTGGGAAGTCTTAACTTTATAGAAGACGGGTATGACGTAATCAAGCTTCTTGGTCTCTATGCATTTCTTGATCTCAACCAGCTCGTTCAAACACCAATGTGACTCTGCGTAGTTCTTGGAAAAGAGAACAACTGCGATACGTGAGTTTCGAATCTCTTCCAATAGATGTTCGAGGGGTACTCCAGACGCGTCTTCGTCTGTGAACACATTCACTTTGCTCCTTTTCAAACGATCTTTGAGAAGGGGCAAGAACTTTTCCCGCTCGTCTTTTCCCCGGAAACTGATGAACACTTGAGGCTTAGTGTAATTTGTATTCTCCATCTCAGTTTGACTTTGGATATGTTTGCTTGTTAAGAAAGTTTGAGAGTGATAGATAAAACTCCACCACATTATCCAGGCTCTATATAGACTTTGCTATAACTTGGTTTGGGTTACGTAAGTATCAAACCTTTAATTATTATTAGTAGTATAAAACAAATAGAAACTACCTCATGATACATTGACCCGTTTAGCCAGGTCATGAGGCTCACCTTATGCGTACGTAACTTCCCCATGTAACGTACCATTTGTATGATTGTTTTCTATTTAGAAAATTATGTTATCCAGTAAGACACAAAAATTATAATGTTATCCTTCATGTTATATATCCTATAGTCAAACAACCTAACATGGGAGATAAGACAGGGTGACAAATACAAATAAATTCAATTACTAAACTACGTACCAAAATGTTACAAAATGATTTAGGTGATAGGTCATGTGTACTGGCACTTCATGATTATGCAGACTCTTCATTTAACATCTATTGACCGAATAATCTGACATCAATGTCTGCGGTTTAATGATGACCTATGAGTTACAAAGAAAACAATTTCTAGAGCAAGGTACTTTAAACTCATCATCCCTCAAACGCAAGCCATCTCTGGAGCTAAGGCTGATAAATCCCCCACTACTCTGATTAAAAGAAATCCGAACCACATCCATTTAATCTACCAGAAAGTGTGTAATGTATACTTTATGTTGCATATGATACCGTATCGTCAAAACCATATTGTTTAGTGAAGCACAAAAATATACACAGAGATGGCTTCCTTGGAGACCCACGGGCCATCTTGACCCGAAATACTACCCTTGATCAATCCATCCTACTGGTAAAAGTTGACAATTGTATACGTCCCGCAACCATAGATCTGACCACAGAAAAGTTTGAAACCTTCCTGTTGAACGCTATCAGTGCAACAACGTCTCCATAAATAGGATTTTATTTTAGTTTACTGGGATATCTATCTCTAACGTGACGTGGAAGAAACCTAAGAAAATGTGTTCAGAAGATCACATTATTATACAAAAGGCCATACATTAACATTGTTTACAGTACAATACGTAACTATATGAAAATTTTCGGGTCAAAACCCATATTTCTCATAAACAAAAACCTAAAAAAAAAAACTTATTTTGTCAGGAAATTGCTGAAATTCCCGTAAAATCACAAAATTAAAACATGGAGTTCGCACGACACATGATACTACTTTGCGGCGGGATGCTACAACATCCGTCCATCTTATTTAATTACATGAAGAAAAACAACACAAAGCCTTATCGTGACACCCAAGTAACCAAACGAAGAACTTCTTTTTGAGCATAACTGTCGTTTAATCGAATTCGCCTCAACACATGTTTGCCTCCAAATTTATATCATCTGTAAATTTTCGTTTAAAATATATATAAGTATCATCTATATAATCTTCCATAAATGTAAACCATAAAGGAGTGATTGTTTAATATGGCAAGCATATTGAACTTACTAGGGATTTGGGCTGGGAAATGGTTACTGTGATGATCCTGATCTGGTGCAATAAGACGATTATTAGACCATTGTTGGGATTGATTTGGTTCTAACGCCAAGACCCGAGACGGCTCTTCAATTCTGTTGACACCGGAAGGAGTCATAGCCAAACCCTGCAACGTAATAATATTACATAAAGAATCTAATGAGAAGCCACAAACGTTGCTTGAGATTAAGGTCAGGGATAGACCTTTTGAAGAACCTCAAATGAGTCTGAACGCTGAAACTGTAACAGACCGTCAAGAGAACTCAAGCTGAGGAACACTAGGTTAGGTTGTCCTCTCAGGCTCAGTGATGCAAGACCATTAGGGATCAGTTTGAAACCTTCAACGTCTGTAGTTTCGAGATTAAGAGCTTGTAAGAACGAACTCGGGGAGTTGAATAAGTCATTATCATTGTATTGGACTGTTGTTGTTGCTGCTGTCTCCTGTGGATGAATTGGAGTCTCTTCTACGACCACACGATGATCAGTAGTTGTGTTGGGAGATGTAGGATCCGAATTTCTTTCCTTACAAGCAAAAATTGCCTTGACCTTGGTCACAATATCACTGACAAACTCGCTATCATTGCTGCAAGAAAAAGAAAAAAAAGTTGACACACACATACACATAAATATACACATATTTATATACCTATATTGTTTGTTACTCAAGCCCGGTTTTGAGGTAATAGACTTAAGAGCTTGTCTCCATCTCAAAATTTTAGCTTCTGTTTCTAGAATAGACTTCTCATCCCTCCTATTAACCTTCTTACGTACTTCGTATTCTATCTTAAGAAGCCTAAGAAGGAACCACCCCTTCGGTTTCTGAACAAATCCTTCCGTTAAATTGTAGAAAATTGGGAAGGGAACAATCTCTCTTGCGTCCATAAGCTTCTTGATCTCAACGAGCTCATTGAGGCACTCTTGTGACTCAAGATAATTGGGAGAGAAGATGACTATTGCAACCTTTGACTCTTTGAATCTGTTCTTCATATCACTCTCTTCAGGCACTGAAAACTGGTTATATTTTAGTTGAGTTCTTAGAGAGCTCACTAAGTTTTGCTCCAGCTGCTTTTCGCCAAAACTGATGGACACTCCTTGAGACGGAGGGCTTATAATCATTGCAAATGAATTCAAAATCTTACATAATAAGGAAAAGCAGGTCAAACTATCTTCGGAGTTATTATCTTGGCCAGGAAGGTTTTGAAGATTGTCATTACTCTCTACAGCTTCAACCACACAATTGAAATATCTGTTAGTTGAGGGAATTAATTATACATGTAACAGAGTGATACGTAAGAGACTTACTAATGACTTCAACTGGTAAAGAGTTTCTATGATTTTGGATTTCTTGAGAAGAGGATATAAGGTTGTTTCCAATAAATTTCTGAGGTTTCTTGGGAAACACGCGAGGCGTGAAAATAAGGCTCTGCATAGTAACAGTACCACTTAAAGGATTTTACCCCAGTTTACAAAATATTAAACTACAATTACCAATCTATAAAATATTATTTAAAAGGTTAAAAACAATTTCAATACCATAAATCAAAATAGCTTTAATGAGCTAAATATAGTTTCGAATTAATACTATGGTGATGTTTTATATATATTTTGCAAATTATTTTCTTTTTATTATCAATTCTCCAAATAATGATTTCTAATTTCTTTAGATTTTTTTTATCAAATTCCATAGTAAAAATAGCTATAATTTCTATATTAAATTAATATTTACTTATATAGCTTTCTCAAAAATATTCCCAAACAAAATTTGGGTATTTTTAAATGTTGCTAGGTAAATTAATATTTAACTTATATAAAAATTGAAAACTGTAAGTTTGTTGATACTTATTTAAATATTTAATAACATTATTTTTTAAATAATGTTAGGCAAAAATAACAGATTTTAGGGGAAGAAACTATATTTTTGTTATAAGTTTATTTGGATCAAATAATTACAAAAATATTATTTGAGAAATCAAATTCTTACGTATAACCCTGACTTTAATTCTTACGAAGGTTAATTATATATATACACTTAATGAAGAAAATACTATATCTAATTATCATATAAAAAATATTTTAATTTTTTGTTTCCTTTTTATATTATATAAAAATAACATATATAATAAAAATAAAACTTATTGAAAGAAACAATTATGAATTTTATAAAATAAAAAAAAAACATAATATGATAACATAAAAAGGGAAAATGCACAAAAAGGTAATTTTGATATAAAAATTATATATCTTTGAATAATATAAATATCGTCTGAAGAATTGTAAATATAAATTCATATAATTAATATACAAATCCTAGACTGTATTTGACTCTATTGTGTTTTGCTCTTTAAATATTAATTCATATAATTAATATAACACTATGTCTTTTTTATAAAATTTTAGAGAATTGACTTTCGAAGGGTTGGGAACTAACCTCATTGTCGTCTTCTAGAGAACCTAACAGCACCAAGAGAATCTTTCCAGATTGACCCGTCTTGATTAGTCGATGAGCGAGGGCAGGGTTCTTAAGAGAGTTCAGGTCAAGAAACACCATATGATCATCGCTCAGGCAACTGAAATGATTGGACGTCTTTGTAATAAGATCATGTATCCTAAGGTTTAAAGCGTGTAATAACGACGTCACTGCCTCCTGAGGATGAATCAAAAGTTTCTGTATCACAGTCTGAATATTTCTTGGAGAAGAAATTTTGTCTAAAAGCTCTCTAAGTTTGATGACAAGTTCCCTAAGAAAATCCATATCAGAGTTATGTCTATGAGACAACACCATAGTTTGATCTCCTCCAACAAACGCTAGCTAGGGCTTCCCTTCTCTCCCAGATCTTAGCTTCTGTGTCAAGTATTGACTTGTTGCTTCCCCGGTCAACGTTCTTGCGAACACCCTCCTCAGTGAAAAGGAGAGTGTTACCGAACCAACCAGTCTGTTTCTTGACGGCGTCAACTTTCAGGTGGTAGAATACTGAAAAAGGGATAATAGATCCAATCTCCATTTGCTTCTTGATCTCAACGAGCTCGTCTAAGCACCAGCGTGACTCGGGGTACTTGTCTGAGAAGATGACGAGTGCAACACCTGACTCTCTTATACGTTGGAAAAGTGTTTTGGTCGGAAATCCTGTCGTCTCGTTCTTGTCCATGTAATAAGTGATACCGTTCCTCTCTAGTTCTTGTTTAAGAAAGCTCACAAAATTATTTCTTTGAGTTTTACCTCTGAAACTGATGAACACTTGATCACGTTTCCACGACGGAGGGAAGTTCATCATTTGTGTTATGATGAGGAAATGTAAATGTTGAGGAGTTAGAGATAGAGAGTGTTTTTGCTTGGAGATGAAAATGAAGAGGAAGATGAAGTGTGTATTTGTAATGTTTTTTTTTGGGTGACTATTGAAGTCAACACCCCCAAAATTGTGCACATGGATCCATATATTTTATTTTCTTACCAACTGTTCAGACGTGGTTATAAATGCACATGGGTCCAGATGTAGTTGTGATGAAATTGCAATACAGATGTAACTCTACTACTGTTGTAAATATGAATGTTGAGTTAACCAAACTGTCATCGTTTAATATGTTCTTTGTCATTTGCTTCGCTTACACAAATCCCCTCACTAAAGCTCGATTCCAAACATTGAGCGACAAGGTCGGTCTCGCTATCCCTCGTCCGTCTTTACGAGGCCTATCAGAACATTTCTAACCTCAAAAGTATTAGAGTAAGATTTTCTCCAATCCTATTTAATGAGCACTCCATAACAAAAGTAAAAGCAGGATTACCACAAACATTAAGTAACAATTTTTTTTTCTTATTAACTTTTTTCTCCTAAATAAAATACGGTTGAAATGGAACTAAACTCCATTACGAAATATTATTTATTTTGGAGATAAAATTAAAATAATATGTTAGAAAGGCTTTTAGAATATTAAAAAAGTAGAATTAGCCGTAAGATTTTTTTTTTAACACAGTTAGCTGTATATTACATGTATAGTTAACTAGTTATAATCGTATATCTTCTGTAATTACTATTGTTTATACGTATATCCTTGTAAAGTCCTCTACTGTGTAAAACCAGAACGTTATTCTTATGAATAAATCATCCAGTTTCTATATCTCATAATATTCTACTACGTTAAACAAATTAAATTCAAGCCTTTGGTGTACAATTAACTTAGTGGCGTAAGTTGTTTAATAGATGTGTATTGCGACTGTTCCCCAAAAAAATGTGTATTACGTTATATCTTCGGTCATAAACACTGTAGTAGTACTGCAAGTCTGCAAGCAATCTAGCATTTTATCTTTTTGTCAAGCAATCTAGCGTTTATCTTGTACTATATTTCTGTCAACCGATCTGTCTTTTGTCGTATTCATCTTTATATATACATTGTTTGCGTAAAATTATAACTACTACTTAAACAAATTACATTCAAACTTCGCTGTGCAATTCTTTATATAGAGTGACGAAAAAAAGAAATCTATCGTTAACAGAGAGTTGTTTTATTATTTTTTTGGAGAACAGAAAGAAATTGTTTAATAGATGTGTATTACGATGTCTTTGGTCTTTTGGTCATAAACAATGCAATACTGCAACCAAGCGAGTCTGGCGTTATCTTGTTTCTATTAGTCAACCAATATGTCTTTGTATTATATGTTTTATGTTACATGATTAAGTGCTGTTAGGAGTAGGGCTGGGCATTTTATCCGTTATATTTGATTCGATCCGTTATTTGTTTCGATTCGATCCGAAAATTCCGGATATCCGTAAACTTTCGAATCAAAGCAAATACTAAAATTCAATATCCGTTAAAATCGAAGCAAATCACAAATATTAAAATTTTGGAAAGCGGATATCCGATCCGATCCGTAAATATATAAATATATGTATATTTTGATTATATTTAAAAGTTTAATTGTATAAAATTATATAATTATTATTTTAGCACATGATTTTGAACAATTCTATTCAAATTATTACTTATATAAAAATATTACATAAAAAGAGATAAAATATTTTTGACAATTATATTTTTTTCTTAAATTTTGTGTCATTATAATTGTAACTTAAACTTTAAAAAATTACAAAATCTATAAATTCACTAGTTCTTTTAATTTTTATTTTATATATCATGCAAAAAATATTTTTACAAAGCAAATTTGTATCAAAATCTTAAGATTATTTGTACTAATTAAAATGGATTAGATATCCGTAAATATTCGTAAATATCCGCAAATATCTATTTATTTTCCGGATATCTGTTTTTCCGGATATCCGTATTTTTTCGAAGCAAAGCAAATACCAAAATTAGATATCCGTAACATTCGAAGCAAATCACAAATACCTTAAAAAACCCGGATATCCGATCCGTGCCCACCCCTAGTTAGGAGGGAATATTCCAAATCAAAAGTGAGATAACTTTTTTTGTCAACCAAATCAAAAGTGAGATGGAACCTTGGATATGATTCAATTCGTGACCAGTTGGTTTTCAATTTCAAATTAACTTAGGAGTAAGATGTGTATTTTGTGGCCTAACTATAATAGACCGTTTTAGTCAGGTCATCTCTGAAACCCAAATCAAGAAATATTATCAACTTCGTGAAATCTTCTACCAATAAATGATTTAAGTTTGGATTTGCGTTGATGTTATAACTTCCAAAACTGAGATGTCAAGAAGGTGTTAGTGTATTACCCACGAATTACATACTTAGTCCCAGTTGACTATTTGGGCACCTACTCTCTTTTATCTTTTGATACGTTTTCCACGTAAGAGTTATTAGATGATAAATATAACAACAAACTTAATATGTTTATTACAATTTGCAGATAACACAAACATATCTTTGCCATCAAATAGAGACTTTAATTAGGCTAATCTGCCCCCCAAAAAAAAACAATAAAGCAATGAAACATTATTAAAAATCTTCATAGCAGAAAGTTAAAGCATTATCTGTAGAAGAAACATGGCTAAAAACCCTACAAAGTCCAGACACTCATTACAGTTTCCATTACAAGTGCTAGTATAGATTCTTGCCCTCATGCATTCGAAGTCTACTTCTTGATAGGATATGAAGCAATCATCGTGATCCCACATATACCTGCTGGATCTTGAGTGTTACGAGCCATCTTAACGAAGCCAGCTTCTCCCCATATCGTGCCCCATGAGTTTTTCACGATCCAATAGTCTTGACCGTTCTCACTACCGTACCCGACGATAACAACCGCATGGTCAAGCTGTGTCCCGCAAGGTCCATTATATATACCCTTAATGACACAAAATATTGAAACAAGTACAATATAAGTTTATCGACTAAATATATTTCGTATATATAAGAAAATGGATTCTAATTTCTAAAGGTAGGGTTTTCTATGTGCTCCATATACCGATTTATAGAGCATGAATTCTCGGGATTTTTTGTCAATGCCAACACTCACGGGCTGGTGAGCAACGGCTTTTTTCAAAGACATCTCATCATTCACTGGCAAATCCTCGTAGCCGTCAATTTTAACGACCTTATTTGCACTATTCTGCCATTAACGTACCAAAGAGAAAAACAGAAAGGTGAAAATTGTTAGTGAAATATAAGCAATTATATATGGGTGTTTAGTAACGGAAGCATTAGTAGATGAACCTCGTTGTGGTTACAGTTTCCTTGAACGGCCGTGTATGGATAATCAATTTGGGAAACAAGACCAATATTGTTATTGATAAGGAACTTAAAAGATATGTCCATGTAGCCTCTCCCAGCACAACCGTAATTATCGATGTTGCAGTCGAGCAATTCTTGCTCGGAGAGTGAGATTAACTCTCCTGTCACGATCTTGTTTATTCCCTCCACAGCTGCTACTGTGGAGAATGCCCAGCAGCAACCTTTCATTTCAAATATGATCTTTTATATTAGTATTATATTCCAATATATCATTTTAACGGATTTAAATTATTATAACTGACATCATGTGCAATTAAAATAACACTATAATTATATTCAACATACATTGAAAACTTAATAAAATTAATAATGTTGAAATCTTGATATTTTATTAACTTATAGAGTTATTAATTCATAAAGATTTCCTTTGTAGTTTTTTTTTCTGTTTTAAGATATATATGTTTCTAAGAGAAGAAAAATATTTGATTTTATTGTATGTATGTTAATTAGATTTTTTGAATTTTGACATGTATATTAGTCTTATTATACTATTTGGAATATATAAAATATGTCTCTAAGAATTTAAATGTATTTTAGATATAATTTTACCAAACTGCATCAAAACATAGTAAGTGTTAAGAAATATAAATATAGTTCATTATTTATTAATGTAAAATAAAAAAACATAATGTTTGATTTGTATTTATATAATATATATATATATATATATATAAATTATTAATTTATAATTTTATTGAGACCATATATTTATATAGGATTTTGTAAAAAAAATATTATCTTATTATTTTATCGATTTGATGTCATATTTTGAATCAGCCCAATTAAGAACCGTATATATTTATTAATTTATGATATTTATTAATTTATTGAATATTAATTTATAGATTTTCTACTATAAAGTGTACTGTTATTTTAATTAAAATAACACTATAATAATATTCAATATTTTTTCATACGTATAGAATATACAACATTTAAAATTTATGAACAATTATAAATATATTATTTTTTGGTAACATATATTTGGTTATCCTGTAAATGAATGTGAAAGAAGAATAAAAAGTACTTACTGCAAGAGCCTTGGTCTTTAACTGCCGTCACTGCACCTTCTTTTCTCCAATCAACTGACTCTGGGAGCTGATCTTCGGCAAGTGAAACGTACCTATGACTGACTCTGCGAGCCCTTTGTGTCGGTTCATGATCAAAGCCTCCAGCCAAAAGACCTTGGTACTCTTTAACGGTTAGGTCAGCAAACCGATTCAAACCGAGTTGGTAACTGAGGTTCTTAGCGTTGTGTTGGTCGACAAAACGAAGATTGTCCTTGAAAATCTCAAAACGCCGTTGCTTCTCTCCGAGAGCATTGACATAACTCTTCCCGTGAGTGGACAACCACGTTTGGAAGATGAACCCAACATCGACGTTACTCCGGCGACCACTGTCGGATGCGACGGGAATGTCCACGGCCGAAGACGGCGAAAGATAGAATATTATCAAAAGAAAGAGGATTGTCATGCGAGCTGATCTAGCAAAACCCATTCGTATGTTCTTGTCATGCTATATTGTGAGACATATATATATTGTAAGATGGGAATAGACAAATACATCCGTATATTTTGTTTTCCATGTTTTTTTTTCTTTTTCGATGTTAGCTTATGCATGCATTAAATATTTCTGGCAAATGATATATTCAGATTCCTTTCTTTTTCAAAAATGAATAATTACTCGTAGATACATCGTAAAATTATAAGGTACATCTTAAGTACTCGTAGATACATCTTAGAATTGCCAAAAGAGTCATTTATTTTTTCTCTTAAATTCCATATTACTCCTGAAATATATCTTAAAATAAGGGTAATGAATTATTAGAAAATGCTAATTTGGCTATGAATAAAAATGTTAGACTTCAAACTTACCTTTTTTCTGTGGTTTTATATCCGTGACTAGTAAATACTGGCAACAGCTTGATCAGCAGGGTTTAACCTTGAGCCATTGATATGAGAAAACTTTGAGAGTGTTCAAGGCCTTATCACGATTTAGCCCGGTCCATCATTTAAAATGCTTTATCGAATTGATTTCGTCTTTTATTTTGTGGCGTAATTATCCAAATAACTTCCTTTTTTTTTTGAACACATCCAAATAACTTCTTGAATCACAAAAACACATTAAATTCGATCCGCCGTGAGTTGGATTATGCAGTTCTTGACTTTGACTATATCTGAAGTGGATGACACAGTTATTAATATATAATGAATTTGATTTATTGTTTGCTTTTGAATTTGATTAATTGTTAATTCTGCTATTTTTTATCCATTAATTTCCTCTTTAGATTCTAAAAGAACGCGTTTTAATTCGTTATTTTGTGTAACATCAAACGCGTTTAAATTCATTTTTCGTGGTTGGCATGTGACGGCGAAATAAAATAACAATAATTTATTATGCAATCTTATTTGTCGCTTTTGTTTGTTAAAATGCTGTTGTGACAATTATATGCAGTTTCGTTTATCTATTCATCTATTTAGAAGTGCAGATGTGATATTGATTGGGATTGTGCGCGTTATCTGTGGAACTGAGAATGTGGTTTTAGTTTAATAAATAATTAATTTCGTTAAAGAAAAGCTAATAATCACTTTAAACTGCCATGTGGTTTTCTCATAATTAGCGTTAAAGCGGTAATCTAAGAGAAAAGGTGTAAAAATTGATGCAAAAAGGTTTTCGATAACAAACGGCGTTTGTAACTGTTTATTGTTCTTTTCTAACCGTCATTAACGGATAGTTTCACCGACCATAATAAATGATTTTAAATTGTTACAATGACCAGGTCATGATACCCGTAATTACCGCTTCCATTTATCTGACCGCACTAATTTTTGCATGCACTGATATTTATATTCTTAAAAGTTTTTTAGTTTTTGTATTTCACATAATACACATTCTCTGTGTTTCAAAATGTATAATGATTTAAGACAATATTATATACTTTAAAAAAATATTTTTTACCTAAAATTACCAAATATTTTTTACCTAAAAACTATCACTAAAATATAAATTAAAAATTCTACAGTCAACTACAAAATAAACTTAAAACATCATTAACTATACAGTGTATAATAAAGTTAAAACTTAAATACGAATATAAATTCATTTTAGATATTGAAACATCAAAAAATCATAAATATCACATTTCGAAACAAAAAGAGTATTAAATTTTGATTTATAAACACATTATTTTGAAGAAAAAATATTATTTTAATAATTTTAAACTAATAGTTTTTCAAAATTTATATTCTTTTCAAAATTTACAATTTTAAATTTCTATCTAATAGAAATTGCATAAAAGATTTTAAACTTACATCTTTGTGAAACAAAATTTTATTTTGAAATGGTATTTCAGAACATTGTCTATGCTCGTAAACACTGGAATTTAAAACCAACGAAAAGTATGCTTTTCTATAGAATATAATAGCTTGTCATCTTGAGTTTCATTGCTACCACAAGATTTTCTATGCGGTAGACAGTTTCTGCTGAGCTTTTGTAAGAATGATTGCCGAGGCTTGTATCGATGTCATCCCTAGAAGATACCGTTTCATGCATTTAATGATATCACATCAGACTTCGGACATGGAAAATACATGGTGTATGACACTCCAACTCCGAGTAATAGGTGACCGAAAGAAACGTAAAGCTGTTTGTATAAACAATGTGACCCCATAAACAATCTAAAGCTATTTGTATATAGTGTGAATTTATGATAAATATATATGTATTGTTATTTTGTACATGTTTATATCTCTCAAAAAGTAGTTGATCACTAACTTATAATCCTAGATATATACTTTATCTGCTACTACATGAGATCGAGACGGGTATATATGTTGTATTATTCATTTGACAATTATAATCGTTGTTGATTATTCATTTGACAATTATCTTCACATTCAGGCAATTAACCTTTACTTTCACAGATACACTTATCTATATAAAGATCATATTTGATAAGCTCATCTCTGGTAATTCTCTATACGTGTCCATTTAAATGCACCATATCTTCTACTATAATATATGATATTGATCTTTCTACACGTCCTTCAGATTTGTTCCAAACTTGACGAAACCGCTAGAAAGCTTTTTAACATTCTTTTCAAGATCGGTCACGGATCATTCAACATCTTGAACTTCTTTTCATAACACATGACTGACTATACACACACTTGATCCATAAGAAGTACACTAAATATACGCTCATTTTTATCATTTTAGTTTTCTTTATCACTTTTTATTTAGACTTGACTTTGAATAGTAACCAAAACAATGAGTAAAATATCATTTATCTTAGTCAAATTTTAAAATTACACATTAAGAAGTGATTTTTATCGTAAAAGTTTATAAACAAAATTGTTATTCCCTAAATATAGATAAAATCATTCTTCACCTATAATTGATGACTATTAATATAAAAATATAAAAGAACAGGAAAAAAAATTGTATGAATGTTTTTATATCATATCAGTTTTGACAAAGAATGTTTTTTTTCTATAATTCTCTAAATCTAAGAAATGACAAAGAATTATAGGCAGCAAATATATATTCTTTATAAATTGTGTAATTTCTAATGAATAAGTAGAAATGATAATTATTCTCTTTAATTCCTTATGTCACTATTTAGGTCCTTTGCTTATTATTATTATGTTTTTGTTTGATTTTTATATTCAGTTTGGTGCTCCTATGATTGTTATCCGTTAGATCCTTAATAACTATGTATAAAAAACTTTGTAATAGATGACCAAAAAAATGAAGTATTGAAATTATTAAAATTTTCCCAACAAAAACAGCTTGAATATACCATTACTTAATTATGCTATATATGAAAAAAAAAAAACAATTCGATCTTTGAATAGGTCATTCATATATATTACTTCTTTTTCATTCCGAAGAAATGAAAATTGACGTCGAGGAGAAAAAGTCCGTAAAATAAGAGACCAAACGACGAATATTCTTCACTCGTCAGTCCGAAAGAAAGAAAAGAAAAAAAAAAACATAAAAAAAAACAATAAAATCTCTTTCCGACAAGAACATGCTTTCCACTATTTATTCGGCTTTCATCTGAACTCTCAAAACCCTTTCCTCTCTGTCTTATTCCTCTCTTTAAAAATCTCTCCTTTATCCTCCGAAACAACAAACAAAAAAAAGAAACGAAACTCACTTTCTCTCTGTTTCATCACACACATCACTAAATGGCGCCGGCGACGGAGTCTCAAGGCTCATTCCTGAGCCGAATCAGCATCCGCCGCAACCAGATCATCTCCATGGACGCTAACCACGAGCAAGAGCTCGAAGAGCTCGAGTATTTCCACAAACACGTCTCTGAACGTCTCTCGGAGCTAATCTCTCCATCTTCGCCTCCTCCAGACATTGGCGGCTCTTCTCAGCCGTCTGATCCGATCCTCTCGATCCCGTGGCTACAGAACCTCCTCGACGTTTTCGTTTCCTGCGAGACGGAGTTCAAAGGGGTTCTTCTGTCCACGGTTCAGATCTCGAAGTCTCCTTCTTTAGAGAGGGTTCTGTCGGAACTGCTTGATAGGATTCTAAAGGCGCTTGATATCTGTAACGCCGTTGTTAACGGTATTGATTCCGTTAGACAGAGTCGGCGTTTAGCGGAGATAGCTGTGACGGCGCTTAAACAAAGGCCGTTATGTGACGGAAGCGTTCGTAGAGCGAAGCGTGCGTTGGCAAGTCTTGTTGTTGGGTTAAACGGTGATGTGAAAGTTAGAAACAATGGAAGTGGCGGCGGCGGCAGTAGTAATAAAAAGACAACGTTTAGGTCTTGGTCGTTTGGACAGAACAGCAACGTAGGAGGAGGATCATCATCTGGCCACTGGTCTGCGACGAAGCAGATTCAGGGGATGGTTGCTAATCTTGTGATGCCACGTGGAGCAGAAGCCTCTGGACCGGCGATGCCGGTTTATATAATGAGCAGTGTTATGGTTCTTGTGATGTGGGTGTTAGTCGCTGCGGTGCCTTGCCAGACAAGTAACGTTCTTGTTGCGCCGTTGCAGCTTCCGAAGCACCAGAGCTGGGCTAGTGCCGCTGTGAACATTCAGGAGAGGGTTGGTGAAGAGATGAAACGGAAGGAGAAGCGTTTTGGTGGTGGTGGTGGTGGTGGGTTGATGGAGGAGATTCAGAGGATGGAGAAGATAGGGTTGTCTTTGTTGGATTTCACGGAGAGGTTTAGGTTTCCGACAGAGGAAGAGGAGGTGGTTGCGGACAAGGTGGAGGAGTTGGATGAGATTTGTCGGGGGATGGAAGTTGGATTGGAGGATTTGCAGAGACAAGTTAGAGAAGTGTTTCACAGATTGGTGAGAAGCAGGCTGGAGATTGTGTCAGTGCTTGATCAAGCTCTTGCAAGTTAACCTAATCTCTTTTTTCTTGGGGTTTTTTAGTCTTTTAAGAAAACATTAATCATTGAAAAATCTTGATGTGTATAATCTACAATTCGTATACATACACACCATATGTTTTGGTTTCTGGTATCTGAAACTGCAAAACTGACTTGAGATTAAAGGATTCATGATGCTTTCCTGAATCTGTTCTTCTGTGGCTTCCGTGTGTCTTTTCCTGACTTGTGATTGTTTCCAGAAGCTTCCCTATGTTTGCCGCCGAAGCTTCTGTTACCAGGGCGCTTTGGTCCTGTTCTGCTTCCATTAGTGTCTGAATGATGTGTGCTCCTCTGCCGTTTGAATTTGTTGCTGCCATCTTGTTTGGCTGTTGTTTCTGATGAATGATCAGAATGATTTCTTTTCCTTGGCCTGTGTATAAAAAGAATTAATGAGCAAGCAGTGATTTTGATTTTGATATGTTTTCTTGTCTGTAACGGATCTTACTCTCTCGAGGAGTCGATGGAAGTAGTCTGTGAATCATTGGTTTCTTCTTTGTCTTTTGCTTTGCTCGAACGGTTCTGCATATTAAGATGAAAAGTTCCAAGATGATACATACATGTATTACAATGTTTACAATTCCAAAATTTACAGAGAGGGAGAGAAAGAAACCTCTAAAACTGTCTCGAGGAAACTCTTGTGCTTGTCTGGTGTCGCTTGTTGGACTGCGCGGGTACCACACTTCCTTATCATAATCTCAACTATGATCGTTACCTAAATGCACATGTTTTGGTATGTCAATCATCACGTTTTGAGCAAAGAGAAGAATTAAAAATCACTAGGAAACTAAAGTTAAGCACCGTTCTCATTATTACCTTTGATTTAAAATAGTGTCTTGAAACAGACGACCAGGGGAGAATCTCATATAAGAGGTTTTGCAGTAGATTCTGCAAGTCCTGGGCTTGCGATGTTGAGACTAAAACTTTCACAAAACCCAATACGGCCTGCTCAGATACACGATAACGCATGAGAAACTGAAGAAGAAAACCAAAAATACTTACTTCAAGAGCAACAACAGGTAGGCTTACTTTTATAATCTCAATGGATTTGGTGTGAAGCAATGATAAGACAGAGGAAAGAAGCTCTGGTGACGATAGGCAGATCTCAGGGTCTTTGTATATCAAGACAGATAACGCAGACACTGCTCCACTCCTTATGTGTGGTGATGATCCAGATATATAACCACTTATCTGAAGAAACATTGATTCTGATATGAGAAGATAAAGAGGGTGGAATAAATTGATATGGGAGCTCCTCTGAAGCACTTACCATGTTAATCAGTTTGGGACAAAGTTCTTCACTGTTCATAGATGATGAATTTTTTAAGGTGGTATATACCATAACCAGTGCATCACAAGCTGCTTTCCTGTGTTCTTCTTTCCCCTGTATATGCAAACGCAATGTTAAAAAAGTTGTTTAGTGATTGTATTATTTCCCTAAGCACCAACAAAGAAGCAGAGATGAAGCAAACAGTATGCTTACATCTTTAAGAGTAAGGATCATTTCATTCAGGATAAGGAAAGCCTTTTCATTCTCCTCCTCGGAGCTTGACTGTAGAAAGAAAGTAAAGCATTAAGAATATTGGTCACTGTCTTCGTCAGGCCATATTGAATATTATGAAGCTATAAAGTATGATGGAAAGTCTTTCGTAACAACAAAAGCCATACTAAGATAAAGTTTTAATTGATACAAAAGGATATATATTCCCACCTGAATTCCATGCGCCATTAGGACGTGGAAACATGTAAATCGACTTTTAGAAGATGCTTCATCTTCTGGAGTTTTATGGCTGAGTAACATCTCTATCACCTCTGCAAAATGAGATGAACAAAACCAGCCATGTTCCTGCACCAAAGAGGAAAAATTAACATAAATAAGTATGGAGTACCATCCAATGATCAGTGTAAGAGATACTATAACAAGTTCAAATCGGGTATGCAACCTCTAGAATTCTGCTCAGTGTATTATACGCCCCACGAAGATCAGCCTCATCAGTGGCCTGAAACCAAAACAGGTCATGGATCAGCCTCTACAGTCTACATAGGAATATCTAGTGAATAAAATGTCTATAGTTTAGTAAGATACCTGAAAACTTTGGCGAACAAGAATATATATCAATTCAATAAGATCTTCCTTGGCTCCTTCAACAAATGAAGATGCAAGATCCAGTACAGCACTCCTGCAAGCGAGTGTCAAAAAAGTCGTATCAGGTAAATGAGAATTAAGAAGAAAAAACTTTATATTTACATGGATGTCAGGCTAACAAAATGTGCACTGATATTTAACAGGTCATGTAAGAGATTTTAAAGGATAAATTTAATATACAATACAGGGCACATCATGCATCTAGAACTATACCTCTTTAACTGTGTTTTTGTAGCACTGTTGTTGTCTTTCTCTTCATCATTTGAATCATTAGACTGGTTGACTTGCCCTTCAATCTCGCTTTCACCAGCAGGATCAAACTTATTTAGCAAGGAAATTAGAATCTTTTTCCTCACTGAAGAATCCAGAGTGGAAGCTAAGCATCCAATTGCAGCCTGGCATTACAAGAGCATAAATGATGTAATCTTCAGCCAATCAAAACTTCAACTACTTAGATCAAACGAACACAGGGGCCTATGCCAACAAAAAATTGACGCACAGAAGCAAACATACATCTTGACCCATTTGTTTATAGTATTGACAAGCAGAGAATCACAAGAAAGTTTGTAAACCTTAAAGTCTGCACTGATCTCCGTGCCTGAGGCAGTGAACACATCGACGAGAGTTTGAAGCAGCTCCGCCGAGCTTGATGCCAAAGTCTTCATGTTTTTCGTTGAAGCTTTCTTCGAATAGTGAAATCTACTATCAACCTCAGGTTTAGCATCTTCACTTATATTGGCGTCTTCTTCGTCCATATCTGTACTGGGCTTAGGCATTCTTTTATTCTGGTTTACAAGCATCTGAACAAGGAAAAGTTTAATGAGATTGAACTTTGTAAGGACCACACAATTTGGTTAATTGAAATGTGAAGGAAACTCACCTGCAGAGAAACGGCCACAGCTTCATGCATGAAAGATTTTTTCTTAATGAACTTAACCATCAGCTTCACTAAAGATCCTAATTGCTTGGGTACATCAGTTGGGTAGTTACAAAAGGCAGGTAACAGTTTCAGCAGCTCATGACCACGCGCCTTCAACTTTTTGCCCTGACCTGACTTTTTAGCTGATGAACAAGAACATATACAAAGTCAATGGCAGAATAGTATAGTAAACCCTGATATGAGAACAAAGCTAGAAGATTGGAAAAATCTATTCTTTTAACGCAAAATGAAAATTCTCACTGTTCGCAGAGAAGAGTACCTTCTTTAGACGCAAGCATCAATGACTTTGCAAGGGGAACAATGTTGTCGACATAATACTCAAGAGATGCTCCAACAATATGCCTTCTTAAGATAGGAATCAGCCAAGCATTTGTGCAAGAGTGACTCTCAGCATCGAGGGAGATAGGAAAAAGTGTAAGTAGCTTCACCGGACCCATGGCAACTACTGCAGCCCCAATGCATTGTTGAACCTGCAGATAAGTCCAATCTATTATAAATAAATAAAATATAGATAAACTCATCATATCGTACGATGTGAACAAGAAAAAATATAATGAGGATCAAGATGTCCTTTTACTAATTATGAAATATTATTGAATACATCTTGAGTACTAATGCAGAAAATATTCATAAAAATAACTGCCAACCTTCAGAACCTACCGTATTCTTAAAGTAAGAAACCAATGCTATTAGCCTATTACAATAACACAACAGGACCTTCCGTAACAAATAATATAAATTTTACAAATCCAGAAGTTATGGAAGATTAGTCAAGTGGGAGCATTATCGAAACTTACATATTCTGAGCTAGAAGTATCTCCAGTTCCATTTTTCATCATGTCCGCCAGCTTTAAAATGACACCCTTTGCGAGAATATATGAAAGATCTCCTGAAACAATAGGAAATAGAATTCAATATTCCTTTTAAGAGAATCACACCAAAATGAAATAAGCTTTAGGAAAGCCAATTGTTTGCTTGTGACAAATTCTTCTGTAGCCAATATGTTCAGGATGACAAAACATAGCACCCGAGGTGAAGTACACCTACCAAGTTTCTCAATCAAAAGAGCTGTGACAGTTAAAATGTGCTCCTTTGGAATTCCATCACATGAGTTTAGGGTACTCTCAAAGACAGTGCATAAACTTCTTGCTGCATTTATATTGTCTCCACCGGTTAAATTATCCTCATCTTCACTAGACAAGCTTCCCTCGGTCAAAAGATTATTTGTATCGATGTGGCTGCTGATCAAATCCTTTAGTATAACTGAGGCCTGGGATGCAACATCGTCCTCGGAAATCAGAAGACCTAAACCATAGGAAACGGAATATTGAATTCATCACAATAAATATGAAAGTTGGTGTAATGCTGAAAAGTTCGAGAGGGAAAAAAACCTGCCAATGACCCACAAACTAGTGGAAGCTGCCTTAGGCACAATGTCGGTTCCGCTGAGTTAGCTTTCTCCAAGGCACTTCTTAACAAGGTGCTCACATGAACGATAGTGTCAGCAGGATTCTTCTCGTGTAAAGATACATAATTAGTCAAAGAAGTTATGACTCCTTCTATCTCAGGAACAACAACTGTATCATCAGAACTCTTGAAGATAGCATCAATCGCTTTCAGAATTTGCCTCGTCAGCGGCGAGAACTGAGACCCCATAAGCTTACAAAGTTCCGAGAAAACACAAGAACTAACTTCCGCAGATAAAAAAGGAATCGTAGCACTGAGAACATTTAACACATGTGCAGCCTCCGCGTTCTCAGATTTCAATGCTGACTCAACCTTAGAACCTTCCACAATCTTCGTCGAGCTTAGCTTAGACAGAACAGGCTTATATTCTTTAAGTAAAGCATATAACGTATCACTTGCTTCCTTAATAACAGTAGACGACCGAAGAGAACCAAATAACTTCTCCAAACACTCTTGAGCACATCTTCTAACCTAAAACAGAGCAAACACAGACACTAAATTACAATATGCCAAGATTGAAACTTTGAGAAGAGGGCAATACAATAAAACCAAAATAAACAAAAAGAACACAAAAAGATAATACCTTTGGACGTTTATCAATAGAGAATTTCAAAATCGAACCAAACCCTAACTTAACAGATTCCCAATCATCCAAATCACAGAAACCAACAAGCAAGCTCCCAACACACTTCACACCAGCTCTCAAACTCGCAACACCTAACTTCTCCCCTTCTCCATCAACACATCTCACCAAAACACCAACCGCCTCACACCCCATAGCACCTGAGACTCCTCCAGAAGGAACCAGAGGAACCACTATAGACAGAAACGTGAGCAAAGCAGAGACTGCCACTGGATCCTCCGCCGTGGAGGAATCCAACGAGGAGATAGCAGCTGCGAAGTAAGCAGGAGGAGACGGAGGAAGAGACTCCGATGTGAGGATGGAGCGCATTGCGGCGGCGGTGGCGACGAGGTGGCGGTGCTGCGAGGCGGAGGACTTCGAGTAACGGTCCATGAGCTGTTGGCAGATGTCGGAGTCGCCATCTTTGAGGGAGATTTGGTCGGTCTCGTCTGCTCTGTTTTGGTGGTGCTCTGCTTCGACGGCGGCCATAGCTCCGAGGGATTTTTTGGTTTTAGGGTTTAAGGAAAAAAAAAGAGAGTTTATAAACCAGTGTGTGTCTAATAGACCGGGAAAATATTCGGTTTGATTTACCGCCCTCTAGTTCTCTAGTTGGTTTGATTTTATTAGCTTTAGATTTTTGATCCAGCTTTATATTTTTGATAGTTATTTTACCCATCAGAATTTTTTTGAGAAAATTAATTTTTAATGCTAAATAATTATGTTATTAGAAGCTATGCATACAAAAAAATATATATTTTAATGCTAAATAACTATGTTACTATAAATTATGCTGGTTAATTATGTTAGTAATTTTATCAAACTATCTTATGAGAGTCATGTTTGATGGTTTACTATGTTGCATATCTTTTGTTAATTTATGTTTCTTAAACTGCATAATTATATTTTTTTAAATAACTCGAAATTCATACCTAAAACCATTAATGAACAATTAGTTAATCTATCTGAGTAATGGACTTTCACGTAATTATTTTTATATAGAAATTAATTATTTATGACTATTAATAAAAAAATACATTTTTCACATTAACATTTCTATTTTATCTCTAAGATACTTTAGAAAAAATTATACTGAATGTAAGAATAGTTATTTAATTAGTTCAGTAATATTATTGTGCAAAATATGATCTTGCTGATCTTTCTTTTTACTGTATAAATCTTGATGTGGGTTTATTTGTTAGATTTAATTGAGTATAAATACAATAGTTTTTTATTTTGAATTATGATTTTTAAAAATGAAGGCATTGAACATATATATTTACCACGTTTTACAATTTGTATTTGATTATTTCCCTAAAAATTGCTTCAACATTTTTATACAGTTTTATTTTTGTATGTTTAATTTTGATTTCACAGACTGTAGTTAATAAGTAGCAATATATCAACTTTACATTTTTATGATATTACACTCGACTTATAATATGTTGTTTAGATTAATTCCAATATATAGCTTGATTCTTAAATTTAAATTTATATTATTTTACATCAAAGATATATATATATATATATATATATTAAAGTAGATTTTTATGAACCGTCCAATTTTCTTAACACTAGGTTTTGCATATATAACATTCTAGAAATTGCGTTTAAACATTAACCAATAAGATACGGTGCTTCTACAACGAATCATCCAGTTTAAAAATTAAATAAGGATGTATGAGAGAGAGAAATAAACATGAGATCGAACTCCTTTGCAACGCTTTTTAGCTCGAATATTTCAAAAATTATATATAAGAGATATAAAGGAAAAATTAAACATAGATAAATGATGAAATTCATCAATTTCCGCCAACAAAGCTTTTTTTTTTTTGCAAAAATAAAACACAACAAAGATATTCAGTCGCCTACTTTTTATATATAATAGCTTGATCGGTTGCAGACAATCTGTCTCAAGAACCATTGATAGCTGATCCGGTTAAACTAATATTTCATGGTCCACAGCAAAGTATGGAACGCAACGTGTAGGAGGACTCGATTACTAGGGGTGAATCTAAAGATCTTTTTCAATAGGTGCACAAGTATTAGGATAGGTGTAAACTTACATATTACAGTAAGTGTATGAGATAGGCAGAATGTTGTTGTGAGTTCTATCTAATTCAGGATGATTATCTCACAAAACATATATATCTTATCCATAAAAGAATTTTGTATACTTATAGTTTTCAGAACCATTTTGTAAATGCTTAACTATACTAAAAGTTTATATATGTACATCTAATTTATTAGTTGGAAGTTTTGAAATATTTTGTTAATTCAGTGGCATTTTAAGAGTTAGTTCTCAAATGTATTTCAGTTTTAATAATATAGATATGTGTATAAACGGTATACCAAATGAAATTATCAGTATCATACACTAAAAATATGTCTCGCCGTTTACTAAATTTAATTTTATGCTTAAACACGGTTGTTAAAAAGTGGGCATAAACATGCCATGTTTTTCTAGGGGCACAACCTATTTTAATTGTTATAACTACAAGAAAACATCAAATTTGTAACTACATTTGCAACTACATTTGATAGTTTCAAAATTATGCTACTAATTAATAACGATTTTGCAACTACTTTATAACTACAATTGAACCGTTATACATATGTGCAATAAATGTGATCAAAGATTATAGTTATAATTTAGTTGTTTAATTGTAACAAATTTGAGGCGAATTAGCAATTACATTGAGCAGTCGCAATATAGTAGCAATAATAGGAGTATAGAAAACGGAAAGTAGTAAATTAAGTTGCCAATAACTCGAGGCTATGGACCAGATTTTGAAAGTTTATCATGGCTTATATATACCAACATATCGTCACGTTTCACTGTTTCATATGTGAACCGTCGGTAATCTTATATATTCAAGTAAGAAAACCTAAGAACACCTTTATTAATAATATAGAGATGAAATTCTCAAGAAGTAATTAGCTGCTAACTAAAACAAAACTGATTAATGAAATTCTAATATTCATCTAATAAAATCATAAAAGATAATTTTGAAACTCTATTAGATGAGTATTAGAACTTAATAATCACTTTTGTTTTAACTAATCATTTTTTGAAAGCTTTATCCTTATACCATTGATGAAATTGTTGTATGAAGTACAATATTTTACTGATCAACTATTGAGTCACCACTACAGCCAGTTAATTAGCCACCACCGCGTTGTTAAACCCACACGCCAGTAGACTTTAGGATCCGTCTACTTTCCAACGCCAGTCATTTTTATTGTTCCAAGAATATTATAGAGTCCAATTTCAATTTTGGGAACAAAATAAATATTACACCAGCTGATTATTTGGTAAAGATTACCTAGTTACGTTGTTAAAAAAGAAAAAAAAAGATTACCTAGTTACGGACCTTACGGTATAGCTGCTATCTCTACAAAACGAAAATTGCGATTGGTTTTCTTTGTGTTGAGTTCTCTCAACTCTTCATTGGAAGAACGAAAAAACAATCTCTTCATAGACGGTTTTAAATTATTGAATCGAATTTTGTTGTGTTCTTTCGATCATGGGCTTCATGTTCTCAAGTGAGTTTCTCTACTAGTCTCTCAGTCTTTACCACTCCTAACTTTTATTGTGTTATATTGTTGTTCATTTCTCATTTTATCGTTGAGCATATATATCTTTGGTTGTAATTGATTAATTTTTTTTAAACTGTTAATTTAATATAAGAATATAGTATACAAAAAAGTGAATTTTTATTCTTAACTTTGAATTTGTAACAACAATTTTTATAATTTTATAAACATATATCAGTTAGCTGATTTTTCTTGCTTGCAATAATTTGATTTTTTACCTAAAAAAATGATTTGCCAAATATCTTTCCAAATTTTTGATTTGCCAACATATAATTAAATTAGTTAATTTATAGCACGAAAACGCGTATGGAGACATATCACATCAAATCCAAAGTTATTTAACAGAAGATGACAACAATAGTTTTATTGGCTAGTAGTTAATCAATCTGATAATTAATAACAAATATAACTATATTCGGTCCAAAAGAGAGTGACAAGAAAGATTTTCTGAAAAAGAGTGTCAATGTCACGACATTATAAAAACAACGAATTTGTTCATCAGGACATACCGAGCACGACTTAGCATGCCTTTGTACGGAATGGCTTGTTTAATTGGCTGTACGGAACTAACTTGATTGATGTTACTTTTTTAGAATTAAAAATCGAGGGTTTTTGCGGGACTAGCCTAACATAAATCAATATTCTAAACTTTATTTATTTCTTTTAAAGAAATTAATGTCAAACTCAAATAATTTATGCTGGTTGGTGAAACTGACGGCAAAAAAATATTACGGTAAAGTTATTAACTTAATTATTTAGATAACAACTGCACAATTTTATCATGAATTCTTTGATAATATTTCCTATTTAACCTATTTTATCTATGATGTGTCTCCTTTATTTTAAAGAAGGACCAATTATAAGAAGGAAAAAAAAATCATCAAACGGCTATTCTATATTACAAAAATAAAGCTGAAACGGTCAATCTCTTGTGATTTCATTGTTGGCCAAATCTCTTGTGCTTTCATGCTTAATAAACATACAAATATAGTTTTTTGTATACGTATGCGGGACCGCAAAATTACAACGTACCTAGTGAACGGGGAACCTTACCAGTGATGTCACGAAAATAATTCATAAGTAACTTGTACAAATTAAATTCATTTAAAAACGAATCGGCGATCATGTTGTGCGTGTAATAATATATATAATTTTATTATTAAGCTTATTTTCATCACATTATCATGCATTGTATTGATGGTATATGAGATTATTGATGTCATAGCACTAAAAATACACATGGGGTTGTAACACAAGCATAGATAAATACAGATGATGTGCGCATGTTCTTTAATTAGTTTGGTATATTAAAATTCTAAATTAATTTCGATATTTGTAGTTACAATTAACATTTCGTAACTCTAATATAAAAATGTATCGGAAACTAATTAAAAGAGAAAAACAAATTAAGTTTGATAAGAGTGGCCTAACCACATCCACATGACACAAATCTTTTACCCTAACGCTTAACATCGAAAGAACATATCGCTGTTGATAGCTCTAAAAGAAAATCGTCGTGGGGTGACTGGGTCTGTATATATATCCATTTTTGTGTGAAACCCCATTTGTATTTAACTAAATACTAGGATAAGACCTGCGCCTTGCGCAGGGTGAATATATGTAATTAAAATATAAAATTTTAATATTCACAAATTTAAAATTTACATATGATTGTTTTTGTATGTATTTGAAATTTAGAATTTTGGAATTTTTATATAATTATCTATACGTATGATCAAAAACAACTTTAATTAGAAATGTAAATCAAATCTTAGAATTTAATGGATCTGATTTCATATATCTTTTTACTTTTCAGTGTTCAAGTGATGGAAAATAAATGGAGTGTCACTGGACTTGATTGGTAGAGTATAGCAAGTTCCCTAATGTTTTTAAAGAAGCAATTG